CCTTAATAACAGTTATTTGCTGTTTATCATTAGACCATTTATTGCCATTGTTATGAAAGCCACGTTATTGATTTTCTTATTTGATTTTGCAGAGTTGTTTCATGTCAAAAGGGATGTGATCTGACCATTCCATTCAATGCACTAGAAGAACATGATTGTATAGAAGAACTAAAAAAGAAAGTGAAAGGTGATATAATTCACTTATTGCTAACCAATGAAATAATTGGGCAGGAGTGGTTAGGTAGCTTAAACTGTATGGTTAGACTTGATGCTTCAAAATTAAGTACCTTTGAACAAAATTGAAAACTGAGGACTTTGGTTCTTTTTTATATTATAAATAATTTACTAACTAGTTTATTACATCCACATCCCAATCTCAAGGAAACTTATTGTAAAATAAGTTGCTAAAGGGCCGAATTCCGTAAAGTATTTAATTAATTATTAAAGTATTTTCATTTTGCAATTGTATGCTTTAAATGGTGCTCCATCGATATCAACTATGTTTGCTGAGTGTACATTCCTAGCAACATCATAATGGTCTATGCAGTTTGTGTAGTATTAGGATGCTATGGTGTTTCAATAAAAGCCATAATACCTTAATCTATTGTCAGTATCTGGTCAGGTAGCATTTTCTAAGATGGACAGTATTTGGTATTTGGTATTTTGACAGAACAAGAGGAGATCATCAAGGCTCTTGCAGGTTCTCCTGTATCAGATAGTAGGAGAAACTCTCTGGTTGGCACGCCTTACTCCACGCGAGGCCATTCTGACATTGACGCTCTCCTTAACACTACAAATGAGGTATGACATCATAACATGTCCAAAGACTGGCAGCTAACTTCACTGATGGACCTCAGCAAGATATCGTTTATTGTGTCGTTGGTTGTGAAATTTGTATTAGGAGTCCTTATTTTGTATGACAACACCTTGTGTGTAAAACTAGATTTGATTATAGAACAATAGGCAAGCTTGTGTGAGTGCAACTTGGTGCTACTTTATTCTCATCCTCTGATATACTTACATAATATAATTTCTGTTTTCTGTCTTGTCATGTACAGTATTTATGTCTTGTATGTGGATTCTAAAATGCTTCTAAACATCATATCAATCGTGTTTAACATCTTTCTGACTGAATTTCAGACAGAGCATACCTTCTCAGATGGTGACAGCATCAGAGATGTATTTCACACCACGGATGAGGAAGAGAGTGGGGAATGTACCCCAGCATATGAGGCAAGGTTCTAAATAAGCAACAGTAGTTGAATGGCAAAGGATGTCTATTACAGCGTAGTGAGTAGTAGTATAACAATGAATCGAACTATCGATGCCATGGCATTTGGCTCGATAGTTATGTATCAGTGGCAAAGTAAAGCATTAACAACTATTGTTGATAGTTCATTGAGCTATTCAGAGTTTTCGGTAATTGCAACATTAAAAGACCAGGTTAGTTTATTTACTGCTTAAAAGTTGTGATTTTTCCCATAAATATGCCTGAAAACCATTACCAACACTTTCATGATTGTTGTAAATAATAATAAGACTGGTCCCCAGTCATCTACACATGGTCCATTCAACTAGCTCACTCACTATGCACGAGCATGTGATCAGTGGAATGACAGGGTACCAGTCTAGTAATTAATGTGAACTAAAACGTTCACACGTATGCCAACATGAACATATAAGTGTGGACAACAATATAATAGACAATTTCATAATACATAAATAGTATAACAATGTCATTCCAATTAGTTTTTCAATTATTGCAATATTATCGGCAAATCGAATTTCAACTGTCGCAATATCATCACAACTGTAATGTTGCAACAAATAGTCCCTACACACACGCACGCATGCACGCACGCACACACACACAGTAGTGAGGATTCGCTTTCCTTTTATATCATCGCATGCTCTGATTAATCTCTAATTCTTGCCTTGTTCGTTTATTGCAGCGTACGCCGAGACGGTCACAGCGTAACGAGACCGGCTTCCACATGAGGCTGCGTAACCGTGACGACCGGTCGGACGCGAGGACGCCTTCGTTCGTCAGCGATGCTGAGGACGGTGGCGCCCTCAACATGTCCCGGCACCTGTCGCCGGACACGACGGTCGGTGGTGCGGGCGAGGCGAGGCAGGGCGACTGGTGGGTGTTCAGCTCGACGTCGCGCGAGCCGCGGCGTCTCTCCACGCAGGATCGCCCGGACGCCGGCTGGCTGTACTACCAGCATCGATCACACTCTACACCTCCGCCCATGGCGACCTCCAACCACGCGGAGACGATCAGAAGGAGTGAGCATAGGTCAGACAGCGACTTTGACGACTCGCCCCGAACCGACTCAGCGAGTGGTGGACTCGCCGGCGAAAACCGGGCGCCGCCTGGCACCCACGCCGGTGCTGCTCGCTGCAGGAATCGGCGGTTATCGGGCGACGCGTCCGTCGTCGCGGCGACCTCTGCTGCCGTTGCCCGCAGCGACACGGACGATGTTGCGATGCGTGACAGCGACGTGGTGACGACAGTGGAGGATGTGCTGAACACGTCAGGCCACCTCCACCAGCGACTGATCGCTGTCTATCAGAACCTGAACAGGTGCAGCAGTAAGTTCATGCAGCTGCGAACGATGATTGGTAGTGGCGTGGGAGGAGCAGACGGCGACGATGATGGCACGATCACAGAGACGCTGCACGTGACAACGGGAGTGGGTGAAGGGAGCGGAGCAGCGGCGGGCAACGATGGAAAGGGTGGTGGAGAAACGAGTCGAAATGTGACATGCACTAGGGAAAATACGCTGTGTCACGAAGGTGATACGACACCAGACTGTGACAATTCAGCTTCGAGTTTGACAACTCTTGATCGTGGTGGCCCAGCTTTAGGAGATACAGTAACTAGGGAGTGGTGTCGTCCAGCATGTTACACTACCAGCCCAAACACTACTTCTGGCATTCTAGTTCCAGCAAGTCCGATATATGTCTCAATCGAAAATTCAGAAAGTCCACTTTATTCACAAACAAGTCCACTTTATCAACCAACAAGTCCACATAATCAACCAACAAGTCCACGTTATCAATCATCAAGTCCACGTTATTCACAAACAAGTCCACTTTATCAACCAACAAGTCCACATTATCAACCATCAAGCCCACGTTATCAATCAACAAGTCCACGTTATGAACCAACAAGTCCAAGTTATCAACCATCAAGTCCACATTATCAACCAACAAGTCCACGTTATGAACCAACAAGTCCAAGTTATAACCCAACAAGTCCACGTTATTCACAAACAAGTCCACTTTATCAACCAACAAGTCCACATTATCAACCATCAAGCCCACGTTATCAACCAACAAGTCCAAGTTATAACCCAACAAGGTCACGTTATCAACAATCAAGTCCACGTTCTGAACCAACAAGTCCAAGTTATCAACCAACAAGTCCAAGTTATCAACCATCAAGTCCACGTTATCAACCAACAAGTCCACGTTATGAACCAACAAGTCCAAGTTATAACCCAACAAGTCCACGTTATCAACCAACAAGTCCAGGTTATCAACAATCAAGTCCACGTTATGAACCAACAAGTCCAAGTTATCAACCAACAAGTCCACGTTATCAACCAACAAGTCCACGTTATCAACCAACAAGTCCAAGTTATCAACCAACAAGTCCAAGTTATCAACCAACAAGTCAACGTTATCAACCAACAAGTCTACGTTATCAACCAATAACTCCACGTTGTGACCAATCGATCCTGGAAAGCCCAGTGCATAGCACCACGGCCGTAGCGAGACCGAGCCATAGCCGCGCATACATAAACAGTCCATTACATAGCCAAGCAACGATAGCAAGCCCAGTAAGTAAACCTATATCGTTCGTGAGCCCAATACATATCCCCACAAACATAGAAAGTTCACTGCGTGATCATACGTACAAAAAAAACCCAACTTATTCCACTATGCACCTAAGGTATGGGCCAATAAACTTACCTATCACGTGCCCAAAGGGACCAAAGTATGAGCCCTCTGTGCCGACAGGTGCGTGCCACAGTAGGTTGAATCGCCAATGCGATGCAAGTCCATCTCAAGGTTACGCTAGTCTAGATCTTTATCGATCAAGTAGAATGCCTGTTGTGACTGCTCCAAGCTGTGATACGTCGGCACGGGATGACGTTCTGAACGATGCTAAAGGACGCGTGCACGAACACGCGGGACATTCTAGCCATCTAGTAGGTAGGCATGACTCTACTAGAAAATCTCCTTCCCCTCGTCTAGTCGCCAAAAATGAGCACGTGGACTCATCAAAGCCTGATGCTTTGGAGAGGCTGTGGGAGCGACTCATAGCAACAGCAACCTTGGCCGAGCAGCAGCAAACGAGTGTGCTTCCTGATTGCGACGCACTGCACAGCTACAGCGACGCGGGATCGAGCAAATCCGTAGCAACGAAGCACAAGTGCAGCTTTCGTGCGCAGTTTGAGGGGGCGCCACCAGTAGAAGGTGATCCACCAGGAGTCGCCACTTCTACGGCGACGCGCGTGAATGCGATACGCTCGACTGCATCCTCTACCGACGAGGTCGCTTCATTCGAGGTCGTCGGCTTGCACAGGTCGCCTTTGCGTACCTCTCCGGACACGGCCGAGACTATACAGCTGTCGTCCAGCAGCAGTGGAGCGAGCTGCCAATCACGCGCTTCCCGTTCACGCGCTTCCCTGCGAGACGCGTGCGATGACGATTCGCTCTGCTGTAGCCGGCGGTCGCGCGACCCCCTCAGCTCTCTCAGTTCGGATGAATCCATCGAGCTCGCGAATCGCGAGTCGCTCGGGGTGACAATCGAGCGTCTGTCGCACTGTGACAGAGCACGGCGACACTATTCCTCGGCTGCGCATGACCGCGAGCCAAACCTTTCCGAATCGGACGTTGACTCCTGCGATGAAACCGCGTCAAAGCATCCGCGTGTGAGCGCCGCCGGCAGCAGACGTAAGAGAAAGAAGTCTCCAGGTGGTGAGACTGCTAGCATCGAGTCTTCATCTCGCGCGTCCTCATGCGAGACGTCTAGCCCCGACCATTCTGTAAGCTCTCGTACCTCGTTCACAGACTCTGTTGATTTATCCAGTGACTCATCTGAGCAGAGCCGGTCAGGTGCGGCGAACACCGAGAACCGTACTCACAAACCTGTGCGATTCGAATTGAGAGATGTTTCGAGGTCGGGCTTCAATTCTGTTGCATCGGTGTGTTCCCCTCGACGAAACCAAGCATCTAATGTAGACAGCCGCGGCACGGCGAACAGTGGCAGGGTTGGCCGTAACTCGGGACACCAGCGGGTGGGTGTTGACGTGAAGTCGTCTGCGAACGCGCCGAGTTTGCAGCTGCGCGACGACAGAGACTGCGACACCTTCTCGACCACAACCATCAGCAGCGACAGCGACGTACAGTTTGTCGTGCAGGTGAGTAAGGAGGATAAGATCTCCACGGTCGACCTCAGCGACGACGACACCAAGGCCCCCGTGCCCGCCATGACGTCGTCGCCACGCAAGCGCCACCTGGAGCCGTGGAGCACGTGGAAAAAAAAGAAGCGTTGCATCGACGCCAGCGGGCTCGCTCGCAAACACGCGCCGTCCACGTCGGCCGCGCCGGGCGGGAAGCCGACAACGCTTGCCGCGCCGCGTGCACCTCTCCCCACGCCGAGCATTGACAGTGCGGACCAGTCGGTCGGCGATGCTAAGAGAGGCGCCACCTGCAGGTGCAGCGGTGAGTGTCTCTGCAGTACGGACACGGACGGTGTCGAAGCGGCCGTGAGAGGCCTGCTGGGGGTGCAGCGGGAGTGCGGCATGCGCGTGCTGCCGCGCTGGGTGGAGCAGGTCGGCGCCCCGGCCAGCCGTCAATACAGCAGCGACTCCTCCTGGAGCCCTGGCCACGACTCCCCCTCCGCATCCTCATCTTCCTCAGCCTCCCCAGCCTCCTCGCCCAATGATGACGACAGCTTGAGCGCGCTCGATTATGAGGTCCTGCTCGACTGTGACTCGCGAGACAGCGACTCGAGACACGGCGACTCGAGAGAGGGCGATTCGCGAGACGGTGACTCGCGAGATGGCGAGCATGAGCCGAGGCTTCCCCCGTCGACGGCCGATCTGCTGCAGTGCTACCGCTCGGACGAGTCCGACGCCAGCTGGTCGCCGTCCAGCGACGCGGACGACGACTAGTCACCCAGCGACGCGGACGACGACTAGTCGCCCAGCGACTAGCCGCCCAGCGCTACAACGACTAGCCGCCCAGCGACTCGGACGACGACTAGCCGTCCAGCGACTCGGACGACGACTAGTCGCCCAGCGACGCGGACGACGACTAGTCGCCCAGCGACGCGGACGACGACTAGCCGTCCAGCGACGCGGACGACAACTAGTCACCCAGCGACGCGGACGACGACTAGTCACCCAGCGACTCGGACGACGACTAGCCGCCCAGCGACGCGGACGACGACTAGCCGCCCAGCGACGCGGACGACGACTAGCCGCCCAGCGACGCGGACGACGACTAGCCATTCAGCGACGCGGACGACGACTAGCCGCCCAGCGACGCGGTCGCTGCGGGATAGACACCATGGACTAACTAGTGCATGTCCAGTACTGGTCACAGTGCATAGTCTATAATAAGGGCAAGTAGTGTCTACCATGCACCGCAGTGGACGTCTGTCCTGCGTTTTTAGTAATGAAGATCATTACCATCGTACTTGTGTCATTGTATGCAGCCAGCAGGGTGATACTAAAGCCTTCGTCTGCTGTTGGTGCTGTAGGTGGTGAAACTTTGTTTTGTAAGCATTGGAAGCCATAGATGTGCACCGATATTGATGTGATCGTATAGAACTTTAGGAAACAATGTGGCCATTATATAAAGGTCATGTATTGAAATAAGTCATACGAGATCACGTTTGGTGATCTTAATTAATGGTGCATGTGTAGGCTGCAAGTCAGCTCCTGTGTGTTGTGATTCTTTTGTAATATTCTGTTGTTTTGCATAAAAGTCCACTAACACAGTTAATGTTTCTATGTGTTGATAGATTGGCTATGAAGAAACAAAACAACAAATAATATCTTGATAATATCAGGAGTTAATAAAGACACATTTTGTCTTTATTAACTCCTGATAATATATATATATATTAATCTACGTCAAGCTACATATGTTTAGTTTGACTACAATGTTTATTATAATATGCGTTCTTGTCCTACTCCAATAAATTGTCTTTCTGTTAGTCTTTGAATGACTCATGACACGAAATGCAACGTTGTTATGTACATTTTTATTTCAAAACTAAACTTATGGAATCATGGAACTTCCTTATACAATTAGTCCACGCGGAGTAAGGAGCTAAATTTACTCTACTGATTTATGCGTGCTGCTAGACTATTAAACTGCATAATACATATTTGATCAGACACTCGTTTAGCATTATGCTAAACCTATAAAGTAGAACAAATCTCGTGCGTAGTTTTACAATGATCACGGATAATTAATCTATGATCAGTATAAATAATAGGTTACATGTAATCTTGCGCTATACATCATCGAACGTGAAGCAGATAAAAGTTATTCACACTATATTACACGTCATATTTGACTCGCCCACGCAACGGACGTACGTAGACGCAGTAGCTTTGGGGCGAAAAAATCTATCGTCACCTGTACATATAATACCGTGTTATAATGTAACGGCGTTATATGTGTGTGTGTGTGTGTGTGTGCGTGCTTGCGTGCGTGCGTGTGAGTGGTGGGGTGAGATTGAGGGAGAGCGAGCGCGCGCGTGTGTGCGCGTGTACGTGTGAGTGTGCGTGCACGCGTGTGAGTGCGTGCACGCGTGTGAGTGCGTGCGCGCGTGTGATTGTGTGTGCGCGCGTGTGAGTGTGCGTGCGCGCGTGTGAGTGTGCGTGCGCGCGTGTGAGTGTGCGTGCGCGTGTGAGTGTGCGTGCGCGCGTGTGAGTGTGGAGTGAGTGTGCGTGCGCGCGTGAGTGAGTGTGCGTGCGCGCGTGTCAGTGTGCGTGCGCGTGTGTGAGTGTACGTGCGTGCGTGTGCGTGTAGGACAGATGGGAATTTTGCCACTAGCTCCTGTACTAATACGAAAACGTCGAGATCTCTCGAATCGTGAGATCTCTCAGTATCAGTCACGTGACGTAGATGAAAACACTTTTTCCGGCGTCCATCACGATACCGCTCAGAATAAGGCACGTTTTCCAGCGTCCATCGCGACACCGCTCAGAATAAAGCACGTTTTCCGACGTCCATCGCGACACCACTCAGAAGAAGGCACGTTTTCCGACGTCGATGCCGTCAAACGCGCTCTCGATGACGTCAATCTCATGCTCTACAGCGGCGCACCGGGACTTGGCGTAGTCCGGCGCTGGTATGTAGGTTGGCGGCTCGTGGTACAGCGGCACGTACGGCCCGGCATCGTGCCCGTATTTACTGGCCTTCATCGGCGTCGGCGGCAGAGGGCGCTGCTGGTTGAAGCTGCGCGTGCGTGTTTCGTAGTAACCGTTGGCATGGTGATAGTTGCTCGGCGCGTAGACGTCGATGTCCTGGTAGACGGGAATGTAGGGGTCGACACTGTGTGAGGCGTTGAATTTAATGGCCGCCTCCGGCTGCATCAGCCACGGCAGCGGGCAGGTGACGATGAGGTCCGGCTCCACGGTCGGCGACCGCTTGTGATGAGATTTCGGCAACGTGCCCGGAGAGTTGGATGAACTGCTGAGACGGTGCGTCGAACTCGTGGACAGTGACGTCAGGCTGTTGCTGTTACCACGGGGGAGAATCTGCCGCACACACACACAAGAACGCATTCATTAGTTAGGGAAACCAACGGTGCCCTGACCCTACCACAACTCGACTATGCTGATGGACCTATTTCACTCAGTTTTACCAGAACATCTCAATGCCTCGGCTGTGCTAATATCACGAATGAAATTTTAATTGCCAATTAATTTGTGATACTTTTAATATGTTAAGATACTATAAAGACAACGTGATGAACGTTGGCCTTGCTAATATGACTTGATCATACGCACCTTGTCCATGACGCCTCTGTGGGAAGAAGAGCGTGAGGATGCACTTCCTGTGAGGTTAACACGAGGGGGCACCACAGGCGGGCCATCCTCGTCGTCGCTTGGTTCGCGACTCTCAAGTTGGTCAAGGCGTAGGCGCAAGCGTGCGCACTCATCTCGTAGATCTTGCTCTGTCCTGTACACTGCCACTCGCTCATGCTCCAGTGCCTGCAAGCACATCGTTCTTTTAGTCAACAAAGACGTCATAGCGCCCATCTAACATGCTTCCCGAATGACTGCGGGTATACTGTGCCTATATCAGTATAGAAGTCCACTGAAAATTTGGTATACTATAATAAATGTATACGTACCATCAAGTTATTCTGTAGGTGAGTCACTTTGTTCTTCATCAGGATATTGTCGCCATTGACCTTGAGCATGTTGTCGGCAATTACCTCAACGTCGATGTAGTTGTTCTTCCAAAGGCTGACCTCATTCTTTAGTGTTGCCACCTAGTGAGAAGAAACTTTTAATAATACTAGAAAATAACATTCGTTGTGAGGTACCAGGCGTTTTTAATTAAAAACAATAACGACCACAGCAACACACCTACACAGTTATGCGTGTCCAAAACGCAAGTATTAGGATGGCACACGCAATACGATATTACTTGAGAAATGCGATATATCATGGTCATAATACACATAGTCATGTATTCACACCTTATCTGCGGGCTCATCGACGCTGTTGCAGCTGCCTTGTAGCTGCTGTAAGTCTAGTCCAGCAACTTCCAGCTCCTGTTGCAGGTAGACGCGCATGTTGGGACTGGCTGCGCTGTCCAGCAACCGATTTAGCATCTGTAGTGCCGCTATCTGGTGGAGAAATATGATTTTTCTATAATGTGAAACAGGGATTCTTTTAATACTGACTAGATACAATATCGTAACCCTGCAGGCCAGGTCTGTCCGATCACGCTGTCTCTAAGACCTGTCTGCAGGGCTACTATATATATATATATATATATATGTGTGTGTGTGTGTGTGTGTGTGTGTGTGTGTGTGTGTGTGTGGTGTGTGCTGTGTTTGTGGTGTGTGGGGGGGGGGCGTGTGTGGTGCGCGCGGTCGTGTGGTGTTGTGGGCGTGCGCGCGCTGTGTTGTGTGCGGCAGTGCGTGCGGCGTGTGTGGCGTGTGTGTGCGCGCGTACGCGGCGTGTGTGTGTGTGCGCGCGCGTGTGCGGTGTGTGTGTGTGCTGTGTGTGTGTGTGTGGTGTGTGCGTGTGTGGGTGTGTGCGCGCGCGCGTTGTGTGGTGTGTGTGTGCGTTGTGTGTGCGTGTGTGATGTGGTGTGTGAGTGGTGTGTGTGCGCGCGCGCGGTGCGTGCGTCTGGCTATCTATGCTTTCTTACCGTCATTTCAGTGGGTGCTAGCTGTCCTACTCACCTGGAGGTAATTACAGCTGTAGGCCGGGGTTACTCATCATCGCTCACGAGCATCTTAAACCGCGGCCGACCTCGCAAACTCTGAACTTGACCATAGTGAATAGACTCGCAAGACCTCGTAATTTCATCCTTCGCGAGCAGGTAATCGTTAGCAGCTATAATGGGCAACAATGCAACAAACATAATATACAACTATAGAGTTACCAATACATGCCAGTAAGGCACACACGGACAATAGTATCTGGGGTATTTCGGCTAGAATTGCTTGATTTGAATTGTATAGATTTTTGATAGTATCTTATTATGTTTTTTCAAGGCATTTATATGTGTAAGAATTTCTGGCTGTTTGTTAAATTTCACGTTACTTTAATAATAATTTTTTAGTAATGATTTTATCGTCTTTATTCATTGTAAAGTCAGTGGCTTTTTTGGCCGAATACTTTCAAGGTAATTTATCCTACCATGATACTCTAGGCGGCCAGAGTCGCTTGCTTTTGTGAAGCTGCTCATAACAAACATGCTGTATGTCTTCATACCGACAGGGTGAGCCACCATTTTGATCCATGCTTTGCCTAGCAGGAAGATAATACAGTAAAGGACGAGCTGCGAGTTCATCGCGCGTTAAATATATATCGAGAAAACGTCTTTTACAATGCGCATATACGAGTTCACGCAAGTTTCCGAGCGAACCACGCAATTGTGTATAAAAAGATAAAAAGGCACGAAGGTAACGCGTGGGGAAATAATACTTAGCGGGTATCGCGTGCTTAGCTTCAGGCTGAGCAAGCAGTCATGCTGCCATCTCAGTCTAGAAGAGGAAGAAAACATTATTGTAGCATCACGCATGTGAAGGATCCAGTCTAGTTGAGGTGACCCTCTCAAAAACCGACGCTTGTCCTGTGACTATTCTGGTGACAAACGGGTCATGTGCTGACACCTCTTCGTAGCAATCTTTTAAAAAGCGAAAACGTGAAAGCAGTTTGAGTGAATATAAAATAATATCTGCATAAATTGTATTTTGACCACAAAAGTAACAAACGGCCAGAAGGAGAAGAGGTTTGAAGGTCTATCATCTGGGCCGGGTGAGAATTAGATACAATCGAGAAACATATTTTATATAAAAGACTGGTTTTATGATCGCGTAAAATCAGTGTTATCTGACCGTTGATGCTTCAAAATCTAACTAACAATAAACGCATTTTATAAAATGCTAGACATTCTAGGTTCAAACATTAACATACAATAATATCAGGAGTGAATAATAATAGATCTGCTATTATTCACTCCTGAGCTCATTAGTGTCGCTCACTAATACGTTTTCATATTCACATCTCGGCGA